ATAACTTATAATATTAATTAATTGTTATTATTACTTGTGCACCAGTTTCAAGCATAATACGCTTTAAATTAATTCCTCCAGGACCAAGTAGTTTACCCTTCTTATGTATTGGTACATTTAATGTCTCAGTCACTGGCCAATTATCTTTTTTTAGTTTCCTAAAGTCAAACGTTTTAATATTAGCCATCAAGACATTTTGCCACAAAAAATATATGCTACCTTGTACTTTGAATAGTTGCATTCATAATATTTATAATTTTATGTTTAGCACTTGTGGCAGCTTCTACTGCTTCCATTACAATTTTCAATGGTAAGCCAGGAATTTTTATATCTGCTTGTAAAGCTGTAATGCCTTTTTTTGTACCAGCTAACTTGAAATCCATATCACCTAGATAATCTTCAATTCCCTAAATTATATAAAATATAAATAATACAATTAAGATAATGTATTAAAAATTCATTTAAAAAATCACTCAAAACTGAGCATTGAAATAAATAATAAAAATATAGGTATACTATATACATTAATATTCTTACTAGTATATCAGTCAAAATTCTATAGTCTTTGATATTTTTAGAGTCATTTTCATCATAATTGGTGATCAAGCCAATAGCCACTCCAGCAGCAGGTTGGGAAATAGGTACACCAGCATCCATTAAAGCTAAGCTACCACCGCATATAGATGCCATAGACGAAGACCCTATAAACCTAACAATTTTAGTAAAAATCTTCAAATTTACAAAATAAAAGCACTTTAAAATGTATACACACCATTTGACTCAAGAACCTCAGATGTAAGTCGTATTGTAAACGGAAAGTTTTCAGGAACAACTGACCTCAACCCTCGTTCTGCCAAAGCACCATGTCCAACTTCACGGCGCATAGATGGACCCATTCGACCAATATCATTTGTTGCATATGGAGGGAACTCATAATGTAGAAAAAAGTTCTTTTCATTGATGCCACTAAAAATAAATTCAATGTTAAAATTATTGTAACTTGTAATCAAGGATAATTTATCTAAACAATGTAACATACTAATAATAGCAATATATTATTAGGCTAACCTTGTTAATATTGTCATTGGATCAAGTTTAAGGGCAGAGTCTATCGAGTCTAAAGCAACCGTACAAAAAACTTGGGTCTGTCCTCTTTGAAACAATGCAGAACCATGTAATGGTTTATATAAATCAACTTCACAGGATATGTTTCGAAGATCGTCAAGTTTACGACCATCACATCTACAAATTAAAATATCATTAATAGGTATGACAACTAAATCATTTTTTTTTTTTTTTTGAACTTATTACCTAGTATCATTTTCAAAAATCAAATTTCGGAAAATTCGTTTACAAACTTTATCAAAAATAATTGAACAAAGTTCTAAGTTTAAGTTATCAAAATTTGATTTGAGATTTTCAATGACTTCTGTTTTTACATCCTTGACAGCTATATCTCTAGATATTTTATGATGATTAACATTAGTAAATATTTCTCTAAGTTTAATTTCACATAAGCTATCTATAACAGTTTCTAAATTTCCATTGGTGTCATCTACATTCTTTGTCTCAAATTCTCTTTTAGGTTTGCCAAATTCTTTTTGTAAATTATCAATACAATTTACTATATGCTGACATTCTTTGACACCAAATTTAATTGCTTTCAACACATCTTGTTGGAGAACATTATTCGCTGATCCTTCCAACATAATGACAAGGTTTTTAGCTGCTGATACAACAACAAGATTTAATTCACTGTTGGACAACTCACGGCGAGTTGGATTTGTAATTAAATTGTTATCACATAGACCTACACGAACAGCGCCAACAGGACCATTCCAAGGAATATCTGATAGAGCTAGAGCTGTTGAAGCAGCATTTATACTGAGTATATCAGGGTGGTTAATTCCATCAACAGCTAATAAATTACACATAATCTAAAAAATTAAAATAAACATCACAAACAGCAATTTTATTTACACAATAACAAAAAAATAACTTACTTGTGTGTCGAAACAGTAAGTAGAAGGAAACAAAGGCCGCAGTGAACGATCAATTAATCTACTAGTAAGTATTTCATGTTCGGATACAGAAAGTTCTCGCCGTAGATAATTTGTAGGTATACGACCAGCTGCCGCTGCTTTTTGCCGATAGTCAACGGTCAAAGGTAAGAAATTAGATGACGATTTCGTAGACTTGCTCACCGTTGTCGCCATGACGGAGGTGTCACCAAGTGTGGCGACTGCACAGCCGTCTGACAAACGCGCATATTTGCCTCCGGACAGCTTTATTGAACATCTGAAATGACATTTAGCAATCAACTATCGACAGCCAAACACTAGTCGGATTTTATTACCTCTCTGAAAAATCTACTGTGTGCTCAAATAATTTCGTGGAACCAACGAACAGTCGTCGTTTGGAAATGTGCTGTCCGTGCCGCGTCGAACAAGCAAGCCACCGAGAAGACACTCGGGATATCATAACTGTAGATTTTATTTCATAGTACGAAAAACTAACGCAGAAATTATAATTTATTATACCTACGTCACTATTAGAGTGTTAAATAATAAGTAACAACGATTTGAACGAACAATTAAAGGTGGTCCAACGTTGATTGTTCAGTATTTCAGGTTCTGTGTTCGGCAAAATAATACGGCATGGCTTATTCGTTCAGGCTATCAGGCTTCGTGTTTGAAGATAATTGATAATATGAATAATATTTTTGTGATAACAGCAAACTGCGATAAAATCTTAGATCATAATTATCATATAGGTACCATAGAATTGTTCTGTGCTTGTGAAACCCACGGTGAAACCCAAGGTTTATAGATGTTACAGTTAAAACCCGAAATCCGTCGAAACTAGTTTCCACAAATCCCTTTAGCCATTTCTGGTCTTAACTAGTTAAAACTAGAATTCACCGCAGGTTCAAATAAGTCAGTAAAAACTAGTTTTAACTAAAATGCATGACAATAATATTATATTGTATTTAAACTCGTACTACATAAAACTCACACGACCACAGACGATCTATAAATATTGCTCGATAATTATTTGACTGGTCGACTATCAAATCAATTAAGATAACTTTAACGAAGTTAGAAGCTGAAGGACTACTTCCACAACTTGATAGACTAGAAACATCATTTATGACCGAGTTTTGGAATGATGTACTTCATACATTTAATAAAACTAGTAAACTATTACAGTCTGTTCAAATAGATTTAAGTACTGTAGTAGAATTATATAATTCATTAGTTGCTTATGTAAAATCTGTACGAGAAATGTTTCAAACCTATGAAGATGCAGCAAAAGAAAAATTTATAGATTGTAATAAAATTCCGGAATTTGAAAATAAGCAAAGAAAACGAAAAAACATTTTGATGATCCTGGTCATACATTTGATAGCCAAAACAATTTTAAAATTAATACATTTTATGTCATATGTGACAATTTAACAGTTGAACTCTACAAAAGAAAATCTGCTTATGACAGTATAATATCTAAATACAGCTTTATTTTAAAAATATATGAACTAGATCCTCCAGAAATCCGTGAAGATGCAAAAAAATTGAGAACTATCTACAAACAAGATCTACATGAATCCTTTGAAAATGAATGTGTTCATTTTCAAAGTGTATTAAAATTAACCACCAATTCTCTTAAAACCCTATTAGACATGAGTAAATTTATAAAAGAAAAACAATTCGTAAATTCGTTACAATATTTCCTTATGTTGATGTAGCTTTAAGAATATTCCTTTGTAATTTGGCCTCCAACTATTCAACCGAAAGGTCTTTTTCTACACTCCGTAGAATAAAAAAATATTTAAGATCATCTATGTCTTCAGAAAGATTTAATAGTCTTGCAGTTCTTAAGTAATGATTTTATATAGTTTGTCGTGTCAAAATAAATAATATAATAAATTCCTATAATAATTATTCTAATGTGTACTTATATTTCTACTTTTCCTAGTATATTTCTATCTATCCTACTAGATAATTCTAGTTTTCACCAATATATTTTATATACAACTAGTTTTGATGGTGATGGTCTTAGTAAATTCTAGTTTTAACTAGTTAAAACCAGAAATGACTAAAGGGATTTGTGGAAACTAGTTTTGACTAGTTAAAACTAGTTTCGACGGATTTCGGGTTTTAACTGTAACATAGATACTACAGGACGTTGCCTCATAGTCATGTAAACCACGATTAAAGTAGGTATATCTTTAATCGTGATGTAAACAAACTCAAACCCCCTGCATCATTCCCGACCAAGTGACGTCATTGTCGTACAAAATCGGCGGCGGCCTGCCCGAGGCTCCATATTCTATACATATTTCGTCGTACAATTTACACTATTTCTCTCTGGAAAGTTTTTTTTTCGAGTGTACCATTTAGAATATATTTTAAAACACCTAATACCTAGATAATATAATATTATACGCATTTTCTATTTTTATACCTGATAATGGCTTTTATTTTTACAATACCTACCTAATAATATTTAATGATATTTTGTTATTATATTTGTAATATATTATTATAAAGAACAAATTACATCAGCCATATTTACTAAGTCAAATAGTGTTTAAAAAGTACCCTGTGTGACTTTAAACTTTAAAGGAATACCTAATACGTTTAATTTGTAATATATAAAATAATAAAAACATTATCTTAAAAATAGTATTTTACAGACTATAATATTATAAAATGCTACTAATAATACAAATTATTTTAAGATAGGATGTTTGACATAATTTTTAAGCCATAAATTATAAAAAATTCAGTCAAAGTAAAGTATATTTAAATTTGTTATACTTAATAATAATAAAAATAATAATTGAAAAATACTTATCATAATACATATTATTTGCTAATGACTTAATAATAAAAAAAAATTTGTCACAGAATAGTTAATTTAAAATTAGTGTTACATAATAATAAGTATAAAGTTCTGATAAAAATAAAATATTAAAATTTAAAAACCAATATTATGCCCTATGTCATCAGCCTTTTAAGTTTTTTCATTTTCTGTAATTGTGCTTTTGCTTTTCGTTTTTTAATTAATAAGTTTGAATGTTGGTTTAAGTATCTCATCCTAATCAAAACTCTTTGTTTGATGTATGTTTGAATTACAGGTTTGTATTTTTCCTCAATTTCCATTTGACGGATAATTTTATTGGTCAGATATTTTACAACTCCAGGCCTTTTAGGAATTTGATTTTTTGTTATTTTTTTTAACAGCCTTTCAATTCTAATAACTTGATTTTTAAAATCTTGACTTTGTGCAATTAAACCACCATAAGATAAATGATAGTCATGTTCTAGTGGGCGTTCTAAATTACATTTTGTTGTAGTCGAACCAAGTTCTGGAAACTGTATTTTATATTTTTTGGCAACCCAACCTGCCAAGTATTCTGTAGCATCTTCTTCCATTTCATATTTATCATCAATTTCTTGTAGAGAATCGTCATCACTTTCTGTAGTACTTCCACTTTCACTTAAATTTTCAACATTGTTTATTTTTAAGTTCTCTCCAAGAACTCCATTCCTCAAATCTATACTCTTAGCCCATCGTTGCAGAGTTGATATTCCTGCAAAACAAAAAAAACATACTTAGTTAATATGAAACTATTATTGAGAAAAATATATCTTACCAGGCAATGGATAGTTCAATTCATTTTTGACATAAATATACGCACGCTTGCTGAAATACCTAAGAATGAATGCTTTAGAGATTTCATCTCTTGACCAATGTATTTTTTTCTTTTTTTTCATCAAAAGATCAAGTTGGTTTTGTGAAAAAACAGATGAAAGGTATTTTCTGGCTTGAATTTCAATATTCCTGTCTTTATTTACAGATAATTGTTTGATTTGTTTACTTGAAGATTTTTGACTTTTTTTTATTAGTATATTTAAATTAATGATATTTTTCTGTAGTTGTTTTAGTTGAGACCGGAGTGAATCGTTAATCTTGATTAAAGATTCATTTGCATTTTTAATAGAAATCAATTCATTTTGTTGCAAACTTAGATCAGTTTTTAATTTATCATGGTCTTTTAATAAATCTCTATACAAACATTTATAATCAATGATTTCAGGTGGTTCTTCAGTTGAATCATATAATGATGTCGACTTATTTGAAGATGATTGTATTTCTGTATTAAGAGCCATAGTAATAATCTCATCATGAGCCTAAAGTATGCAAAATGCAATAATTAAATACTAGTATTGTATAGAGTGTCCTACCAGGTACTAACATCTTTAATAATTTTTGATCCAATTAATATTTTATGTTACTTTTTTTTTTTAATGATTGTTACAGTTTTAGTCTATATTAAAAACATATGTTTTTTTTTTCTAATAAGAAAAAAAGTTAAAAAGAAAAGTAAAATATTTGTTGTATTGAAAGTTATTAAAGATAGCAGTACCTGGTATGACAACAATATAGCATAATTTGAAGAAGTAGAATTTAATAATATAGCATTGGTATACTACTGACCTGTTTGGAGGATTTAGCTTCCATTCTTTTACTGCGATTAGAAGCAGATGTGGAAACTTGATTTCCTTGTATATAAAGCCCAGGCAGGTTTAAGGAGGGAATGGCATCAGGTTTTAATCTCCGTCCTTTAGGAGCATATCCTAATAGTTCGGCTTGTAGATCACGGATAAATGAGTCATTCTTAAAATGTGCAGAACATATGAATGAAGAAGAAGGGTTCCAATTGTCAGCACGTCTACATTTCAGAATCCATTGTTTCTGCAGTTTCAAGTTCTTTGGAAACCTAAATATTAAAAATGTATTTATTTATAAATATTTAACTTATGAAATCAGATAAAATAAAATTATTTTTAAATATTCTAAAATTATTCAATTAAGTTGGAGTAATTGCCGTTCTGAGTATAACAAATCTAGTTTAATAGTTAAATAAAAAACTCATCATTCTTAATTATAATACAAAAATAACCAATAGATACAATATTTACTTCTGACCAATTAAGGACAGTTTTTTAAGAAATTATACTCTCTTAAAAAACCAATTATAATAAGTAACTAGTTTTTGTAGTTGCAGTGGCGTAACTATACAAGTGCATAAAGGAATTTATATAAAAACAAAATGTATAGAAAAAATATAGTAGAATTAGTTATTATAAGTAAAGGCACAATAAAATATTTACCTGTGAAAAGATATATTAGATATTCCATCTTGTTTTAATTTTCCAGAATAATTGCCACACGTAGAAACTGCACAAACGGAACCGCCTTTACGTTTATTGGTTGTAGCCATTATTAATATTGCGTACCAATAAACAATTTAAAATGCGAATTACAAATTTTAAAAAGATAATGATAATCAAATAAACGTTGTAAACTGTAAAGGCTAAAGGCTAAAGAATAAAAGAAAGCATGCTATCCATGCTTTAAATGTTTAGGGGAGACTGGCTTAATATGACATATTACTTATTGGGGTAATATCAATATGACACATTGATGTTTTGATTAGAATTACTGATATTTATGAACCAAATCTTCTTGAAATACGTTACATATAACCTCCTACATACAATTGTATACAGCACGGACTAAGATATCTTAGTCCGTGGTATACAGTGATCACCGGTTTTGACCTTATCAGAGAATTTGATAACAAAAATGTGTTTTTTGTCTTATCAACATTTTTTAAAATCATTTTTGAAAATTAATTTTGAAATATTAAACCTTATGTTCCTTCAATTTTAGATTCTGAGTGAAACGATGAATGTATTGATTTTACAATGATGTGTGTTTTTATATTTTTTTTTAATTTTGTGCCTGTGTACACGATAAGTAGTCGAAATAATGCTTTGATTTTCGACTTCAGTATCTTGCTCGATTAGAAAGTGAATATCCCAGTACTTTTCAAAAGCGCCAAGAAAAACAAAAGAAAAATTAAGGAAAAACGGGAATTTTTACGCAAAATCGATTTTTCAGAAAATTGAATTTGGTTTTTGGTGTAACTTTAAAACAAATGACCGTAGATACATGAAATTTTCACTGGTTGTTTATATTTGCATTTTCTATACACGATAACATTTTCAAAATATTTTGATTTATTTTGAACTATTTAGGGACATTTTCATTTTCCATTTTTTTTTTAGTTTTTTTTCTAAAAATATCAATAAAACATTGTTTGTTGAGTAGAAATACTTGAAAATTTAATACAAGGTTCCTACTAAATTTTTACAAAGGCAGATGAAAAATATTAAAAATCGTTAGTCACAGTTTTTTTTTATAAGCATTTAAAGTTCAAAAATTGACAAAATATGGAAAAATCACGAAAATTAGCAAATTATTTTGAGTTAAGAATTCGTAAAAATTTTTCTTTTAAATCTAAGATTACTCATAAGTTTGTCTACCTTTATCAATAAAAAAATCTCTACTGGACAGTCAAATTAAATTTTTATGAGAGTTTGAAGTTCAAATTTTTACAACATTGGATGTTCACTCGATTTCTCATGTAGCGATTTTCTTATTTTGTTGTTATTCATAAACGAATAGGTAACTATAGATACATGAAAATTTCACTGAATGTTTATATTAGCATTTCCTATACTCCATAAAATTTTGAAAATATTTTGACTCTTTTTGAGCTGTTTACGGATATTTTCGTTTTTAAATTTTTTTAGTTTTCTTTTCTATGAATATCAATAAAGTTTTATCTGTTAAGCCAAAATTTGTAAAAATTTAATACAAGGCTCCTGATATATTGTTACAATATCAGTTGAAAAATATTAAAAACACATAGGCACAATTTTTTTTTATAAGCATTTTAACATCGAATTTTGACAGAATTTTTCAAAATCTCGAAAATTATTAACCATCGTAATTAATAAATTATAAAATGTTCAGTTTTTATAGCTAAGGATTGAAAATTTAAAACAAGATTCCACGGAAGTAGTTAATTCTCTTACCGAAAAATCTAAAAAATATACAATCACAGTTTATTTTTATAATCATTTTTTGTTCAAATTTGGACGAAATTACATATTAAAAAACCTAGTTATTTTGTTGTGATTATATAATATTATTCGTGGGTACCTACTTGAAACTTCTAAAGTGTACTATTATATATCTATGATAGTATCAGGGTTTGTTACCTATTGATGTTGATGTATAACGTGTTATAAGTACCTAATGGATATTGTGATAATGTGATATGATTAATTTGGAATTTATTATAGGTCAATTTCTTTTTAATACCATAGATATGTATATAATTTGTCTTAAACCTAGACTGACATACCGTCTTCGCTCAGAATCGTTTTTCTTATACAATGATATTGTATCATTGAATTCAAATTTAATAGCATCCATTATACAGTGACCCACTTGTAACCTACTGTACAGCAGAGCGACATCCACTTACCCATCTTTTTTTTTTATTCGAAGTTGAATATAAAAAGGCAAGCTATACTATAATTGTTTTATAAATAAGCTTATTATAATACTTTTGCCATAAATACTTTGAAAAAGACTTGTATTATATCAGGCAAAATGACATAGATAGCAGTGTTTATTATTATATTAATTTCATATTTATATTATTATATTAATTATGTTAAATATATTTCTAAAATTTTGTTATTTATAATAAAAATTTCATTAAACCATTAAATTCTAAAAATTTTATAATTTATTTTTATTGACCAGTATTCAATGGTTGCTTATACAAATATGGTGTATGCCATTTTACCCGACACTCCGTTTAAAATGACATAGTAGGTACATTTAAAAAAAAGTGAATTAAAATGATTTGTTTGTATTAAATGTACAATTAGACTTCAGAAATATGTGTATAATATAAATACAAATATGTTGCTCAAGTTTCATGTGTTAACTAACATTATTTCCTTCATTTTTTTTAAATTAAAAAGTGCTATGTCATATTAAGCCAGTCTCCCCTATCATAGTGTAGTATGTACGACGATTACGCCACGGCGCAAAATGCCCCCACTCCTATTTTTTCAATATTTCTTAAATGAGGCAACCTTTAGTATCTATAAACCTTGGGTGAAACCCGCCTTAATTCACTTGAATATTAAATAATATTATATTATCCTATTGAATATTATAGACTTTAATATTATTAGGGTTGTAAACATAGACCTTACCACCTTAAACCTAACCGTTCTTTAAAAAGCGAATATCGGACAATCCTTTCTTATTGCATATCTAGATCATGAGAGGAACCACTAAGTATCCCAAATATCAAGTTCGTACGTTTTGTATTTTAAAACCAATAATTGGTTAAGATATTGATTGATAGATGGCGCCGCTTTTATACTCTTAACACCTTATTTTCCCCTTTAGGGATTGAATTTCCAAAAATCCTTTCTTAGCGGACGCCCACGTCATATAAGCTATCTATATGCCAAATTTCAGCCAGATCCATCCGGTGGTTCCGGCTAGGCGATAATGAATCACTCGGGACAATTCATTTTATATAATATGTAGAATATAGATGGATGTACTTACCTACCAACAATAAATAATAAATGCTAATAAATCATATTTTGTAGTAGGGGCAATGATTTTTTTTTCCAAAAACACTCCCAATTAATAACGTTGAAGTATTCCCTAACGAATTAAAGGTTGGTTTATATAATTACCAAAATAGGTATTGTTTTAATAAGTTAATAAGTTGTTCGATGGGAAAGTGAATCTAGTTGGTGCATTCGAAAGGTCAAATTTTAAAATTCCCAATAGTTTTTACAAGCGCCGGGAAAAACAACATAAAAATTAAGGAAAAACGGGAATTTTTACTCAAAATCGGATTTCCATAAAATCGATTTTCGTTTTTAGTGTAACTCTAAAACAAATGAATGTACCTTTTTACATGAACTTTTCACTGGTTGTTTAAATTTGCATTTTCTATACACGATGACCTTTTAAAAATATTATGATTTGTTTTGAACTGTTGAGGAACATTTTCACTTTCCATTTTTTTTTTAGGTTTTTTCCTAAAAATATCCATAAAATTTTATTTGTTGGTTAAAAAAGCTTGAAAATTTAATAGAAGGTAGTATATTGTATAAAGTAGTATATTGTTTCAAAGGCAGATGAAAAAATATTAAAAATCCTTAGTCACAGTTTTTTTTTATAAGTATTTAAAGTTCAAAAATTGACAAAATATGGAAAAATCACGAAAATTAGCAAATTATTTTGAGTTTTGATTTCTTAAAAATTTTTCTTTTTAAATCTTAGGTTTTAAAATGTAATACAAGATTCCTTATAAGATTATCTACCTTTATCAAAAAAAAAAAATGTCTATGAGAAAGTCAAATTAAATTTTTATGAGCGTTTGAAATTCAAATTTTTACAACATTGGATATTCACTCGATTTCTCATGTAGCGATTTTCTTATTTTGTTGTAAATATCCTAGACTTTAGTTTTTGTCATACTGTATTCTACATTTTATAACTTATTTTAATAACGTGGAAAATAACACTTTACTCGATAGAAATTACTTTTAAAAAATAATTTCGTTACTATTTTTTTTTTCGTACCTATCATACAACCACAATTAGATGATTACAAACATAATAAATGGTAATAAATCATAATTAGATAAATAAAATAAATAAAAATGAATATACACAATTCTGGGTCTATATGGATATAAATATAAATATAAATAATAAAATATAAAAATGCATTAATTGGTTAACAAATATAATTTGAGATATAAATAGAATTTATTGTAGTTTATGCGGTAACATAGTTGTCAGATTTCGATGTTTGTTTTAGTTTTAGGTTTAGATTTGGATTTGCATGCAGGAGATCTTCTTTCGTATATGAAAATGGGCAGCTTTGGCAGTTCAGTAGGTGTTCCATGTTTTGTTCCATACCACACTAGCATTTTGTTGAGATGTCTTGTAGGATGCCCCATTTCTTTAGGTTCTTTTTAGATCTGTCAACACGTATTCATTATAAATACAATGTAATGAAATTACTATTGCGTTACTGCATTATTTTATTACAATCATTTTTAATTTGCAAATTACATTATTACTCGACCATGGGCTTTTATTCGTAAGCTGTATACCTTACTTAAAAACTGAATTATCATATTAAGAGGACGCCACACCCGCATGACGTGTTGTCTTGTCTCCGTCTTAAAAACGCATAACATACAAAATGGCAAATTCACTCAGAAATTTGCTCAGAAATTCAAGTTTTATGCCGTTAGCTTAAAAATTTGAGTGAATCGACCTATTATGAAACTTGATGGTAAGAATATTATCTGT